CCCCATCCAACCCCCTGCAATTCAGTCCCCCAGCCCCCATCATCACCGCCCCATCAGTTCAGTACCCCTACCCCACCGCCCTCAGTTCACCCTGCCAGCACTCACCCTATCTGCTCAGAACCCACCAGCAATACAGCCCCCCAGCCCATCAGCCCCCCGCTCACTTCAGGCCCCCTGCAGCTCCCAGGCCATAATAAAGCCCTCCCAGCCTCACCTCTGCTCCTCCTAGAGTTCGTCACCCTCCCTAGGCAGGGGAACAGCCGCACTGGGGTGGTGACAGCGGGAGCCCCAGCCATGCCCAGGGCAGCTAACAGGATTTCTAAGTAAAATTAAACCTCGTTTTTAGAACTCTCCAATGTCGGGATTTTTTTTCAGCCACGGCTCTATGGTGAGATCATGAGTTAGGCTTAATTTTACTCAGAAATCGCATCTTTCACGATCAATTCGTGAGAGTTGGCATGTCTGCTAATAGGTGATGTCTACCAAACCCCTTCTGACATTTTGAACATTTTTTCTTTTGATTTATAAAGTAGAGAGAGGAAACAGAAATGTCTATTTTTATATGTTGAATTTTCCCATTCTTCATTGTATCCCTTGTGCATTTGCTAATAATAATAATATTGCCAGGGGATGTGATGTATGGGCATAAAGAGTTCTGAAAATGAGGTGAGATGTTCCTCTCTGATTTTCCAAAAGGCTCATTTTTAAACTCTTAGATCTCTATGGAGATACGCTGCTCGCCCCCTCTCCTGCACCCCAGCCCATCTGCTTAACCCAACCACTAGTTACAAATTCTAAATTCTAATAGAGAAACGAATCGACTTTTCTGTTTTTAGGAAAGATCTGGGCAGCCACCAGTAATATGTTGCTCAGCTCCTGTCAAATGCTAAATTGAAACAAAACCTGAACTACGGTGCTGCCATGAGCCACCATAATTCATATGAAACTTTTCACTTCCCCTTCAATCCCAGAAATTTACCTTTGTCCAACCGCTGTGTAGACGACAGAGAGTCTAGAGGAAGAAAAGGGTGAAAAAGACGAAATGTCAGGTTGTCATGTTTAGGGATATATTCACATTGTTCATGTTCTAACACAAAAGCAAAATGAAAAGAAAACAAACATTATGAAGTTCTAGTTAAGGAGGTTAAGTGCAATTCAGACCAGTACAAACCATTACACACCTCACTAAAAATAACCACAAACATTAAAAACTAAGGACATGACCTAAGGTTACATGACAGACCCAGAGATGTTTTACCAGCGATTACACACCTATGGCTGGCCCATGACACTCGACTTGGGCTCGCAGGGCTTGGGCACTGGGGCTGTTTTATTGCGGTGTAGATGCTCGGGCTTGGGCAGAGGCCTGGGCTCTGGGACCCTGTGCCGGGAGAGGGTCACAGAGCCCAGGTTCCAGCCCGAGCCCGAACCTCGTGAGCCAGAGTCAGCGGACACGGGCCAGCCACAGGTGTTTAATTGCTGTGTAGAGAAACCCTCTGAAACCAACACATAATTCACAGACAGACCCACACACACACACTTTTTCACTGATTAGTATTCAATCAGCTTTAAATCTGCCCCTGTACCGTTAGTACTTAGTAAAACTTCTCATCCTTCCTGACAGCCCTGGTGGTCTCATCTCCAGCTCAGGAGGATAAAATGTGGAGAATCTCTAAAGCAGGGGTGGGAAACCTATAGCCCGTGGGCCAGATCCGGCCTGTTGCTAAATTTCATCTGGCCCGCAGCCACACCGGTCCCCTCCCCCGCCACGGGGCTGGAGCCGCAAGTGCCGACTCTCCCCGCCGCAGGGGGGAAGCCCCGAGTCTCTGCGCAGAGCCGTGAGAACTAGGAGTGTGGAGGGTGCTGAAGCACCCCCCAGGTTTTGCGTGGGGTCCCAGCCTCCGGCCCCACACCCAGGGTCCCAGCTGGCTGCTGGACCCCTGCCCTGGGCTCTGCCCCTGGTACCGCACGCAGGGTCCCGTCTGCTGGCCCTGCACCCAGGGCTCTGCTCAAGCCCCCAGATGTGGTCCCAGCCTCAGCTCCCTTACCCCTGTCCACATCCTGCCCCACCCTCCCGGAGTCATGGCCCAGTCTTGGCCCCAGCTCTGGGGAGAGGGGCACAGACAGGGGTAAGGGGGGTGCCAGGTAAAAAGTTTGGGGACCACTGGCTTTCAGCTCCCCCACTGTAAAAATTGTTCCAGCGCCACTGCCTAGACCCCCTGTGGGGCTGGAGCCGAGAGCGCCGGCTTGGCCTGCTGCGGGGGGAAGCCCCTGTGCCCCCTCTCTGTCCCCCTGCGGGTGAGTGG